GGGAGAGGGGGTGTGCACTTATCTCTAATTACCAAGCTTGGGAATGAGTGAGAGCGTGCACTTAGAGGGGGTTGACTATATAAGCAACTAATGATTATAGATGATCTGCACCGTATGTACAAATTCAAGTTCCACAACTAAGCATTTTTTTATTTGAATATCATAATGTATGTTAGCTATACATTATTGAATATGTAAGAGTAACACTAAACATGGATCTAAACATTAAGGATCTTGAGAGATAAAATCTTCCTGAAGTAATGTCCACTGAATGAGCTCTTGAACCTAAATCATTCAAAGTTGTTGAATTAGTAAAGAACTTGCAATACAAACTTGGTCTTTTTCTTAATATATTTGGATTAGAAGGTTTTAATGTGATTGATGAGAAAAACTAAAACCATTTTCATCTTAACCAACCAACTTTCCCAAATTTTGGTTTATCTTTTATTTTTATGTCATAATAGATAAGGTAACAAAAAAAATATATGCATTATTAATATTAATAAGATTTTAATAGGCTGCAGCGAGTTTGTGTAATCATCACATTACACAAGCATCAGTGTAGAATTTTTTTAGGAATTTTAAAAAATTTAATTTTTACAAAGAATATTTTTTTTACAGCATTGTTAGTTTTTGTAACCCATCAATGCTCACAGCCTCCAATCTTTTATACTCTTCCAAAGCCGCCCTGGAAATTTTTAATTGGGAATAATCAAAATCAAGGATTTGCAGTTTTTCCAATGAGGGAGCTTGACTCATTGCAACATACACTTGTCCTTCAGCAAACATACTTTCGTCAACATTCAATGTTACATGTGGCAAGGTCAATCCTTGAGTTTTATGAACAGTCAGAGCAAATGCATTCTGAAGAGGAAATTGATTCCTTGATGCTCTCTTGCCATAAACTTCAAAATAAGGTGTTCTCTACAGTTTCAGAAAGTAATGTTCAATCATGCAATAGATTCAATCAACAGGATTTATTTATTGGTTTTGATTCTAATGAAACCATACAAAGTTTGGTTATAAATATAATAAGAACATATCCAAATGCCAACAATCTAACAATTCTCGAGAAATGCAAAGAATGTCTTGTTGCTATTGCAACTTCTGATGGAATGATTAGATCTGAAAATTCCTTATTGAGCCGTGAAGAAGTACTCAAATGGAAAGAATATTATTTTAAAGTGCAGCATCATAATAGTCTTTTTGATTATTTTAACGCATTGCTAAAACAAAATGTCCCAAATACGGAAGGAAAACAAATTATTGTAAATACATTTTCAAATATCAATACTGATGTGGAGTCTTGTCTGTCAAATAAAATCAGTTGCCAAGTTGATAAACTTTCAACATTCAAGTCTGAAATACAGTTTCAAAATAGAATCAAACATTTTTGGTTGGAATCAGACAAGCAAATGTTGATTCTCCAGTGTGATATAACGACAGTGAATGCTGGATGCATTAAATTGGCCAAATTTGTTATTGAACAATTCCGTGGAGAATTCTTAGCAAAAAGACAAAATATTCCAATGAAGCACACATGTATTATTTTACACATTCACAGGAAACAAGAACAGCCTTTTGTTTCATTTAATTTTATGTGTGGATGGGAACAGGTTACAATTGATACATTACAAATACAAGATAGGAATTTATCCAGTCTTTTGGAAAAACCTATCATTGATATTATCAATACTACATATCCATTTGAAGAAATTTTGAAACGTGAATTGCTATGGTGTTTATCATGCATGAAATATTATTCTTCACAAAAATCACTGGATCATATTAAGTATATATTTTAAAATTTTTAACATTAATTTATCCAAGTAAATTGTTTTAAAAATTAATTTATTGAACTTATGTATATTTAGATTTTTAAATTTACAAATCCCAAATAATGAAATTCTGGTTAAATATTTGGAATGTAGAACACAACAATGGTTAGAAACAAATTCTGAAACAAACTGGCAATATAAGGTTGCATCAAATAAGATGCTTTTATTCCCATATTCTTCATTCTCGGGAGCATTACAAGCATATCTACGTACCATTGTTCGAAGCCAAATTGCAAAGTTGTTATTTGCAATTGAAAAATTATCAGCAACTAAGACCTTATTTTTGATTGATGGACTAAAAAAAGATGAAGATGAAGAAGAGATGGAACAATTCCAAAATTTACTTGAATTCTGGACAGAATGCTTTATGGATCCAAAAATTGTAAATACAGTTGAAATACCAGACCTTAAACCAAATGGATATAATATGCCTTTCATTAATTATGACCTTGAATTTCCATTTTCATATTACTTTATGAAAAGAATTGATTCGTTTAAACAATTATTTGAAGATGAAATAAATAAACTTGGGGAAAATGCTGAGAATATTGATCCTCAAACTGGCGAACTTTACCAGCATTGCTTTGATGAATATACAGAAGGATTTTCAACAATTGTTTTAAACTCGATACCACTACTCAAAAAATTATCATCATTGAACCAGTATCCTCCACATTTATACATTGATGATTTTATTACAGTAGTTTCTTCTAATGATTCTGCTGGTAATAGAAAGCCAGAAATTTTTAGATTTTTACTTCAAAATCATATGGGGAAAAATAAAATTTTGAATCCAGTTTTCTTGCATGCATATTGGTGGAGAAATGCAAATACTGTCTTAGCTGAATTTCAGTTAATTCAAATAAGCCCAATGGTTATCGATAAAATAGCAGAATGTGACAACTCAGAATCGTTTGAATATTTGTTGGTTAATAAGATTGCAGCAATTATGTTACGAAAGATTAATGAATTACAAAACTTGGAGCAAAATTTATCCATTGTTAAAGAGTGGCAACGAGATGTTACAAAAGTTTTATCACTTGGAGCAAAGATTTTGAAAGGTCAATCATTGCCTTCGCTTCAAATCTTACGTATTTGTAATGATTTCGTATCAACAAAATCTATTCCACTATCAAATATCAAAGAAATAATTGCACTTGGAAAAGGTTCAATTGGACAAGAAACTCTTTCAACTGAACTTATTGAGAAAGTATTTGATATCCTTTATCAAGTTGAACCAACTGAAAAAACCCTTATTTCAAAAAGATCATTCCTTCTTAGATGCCTTGATATCATTAAACTTGAATCAAGTTTTAGACCGCATTTCTATAATAAAATTTTCAGTCAAGGACCATTTCCGCTCATGGGTGTAATAATACAGCGTATCTTCTTGGAAGAAGATAAGGATAAAGAAGAAAGTATTTTTTTGACCATTTTAGAAAATCCAAGTTTGGCAAGATTAAACATAATAAATACTTGTCTAAACAAGCAAGGACTTGACTCAATGATGTCCACATTATGCTGTGATATTATTCAAACATTATTTGCAACATATGCATATGAATTATCAGACTTGGCAGAATATTTTGGATCTGCAGCCAGAGCAATAATTAATCCTAAAACAGAATCTTTGCAAAAAATAACAGCAATTGCTTTACTTAAAGAATTTGTCATAAAATTCTGGGATGAATGTATTCAAGAGCAAAGCTGTTCCCAACCAATAAAACTCGAATCAATGGATGTGGATTTTGAAGGTTTAATTAATGAAATCAACAATTTTATGAGCATGCCACTTGAATTAATTTACTCGTTAAAAATATATTTTATAAGAGTTTTGCGTAAAAGACACAATTTTTCACTTAATGACGTAAAAATTTTTTGTAATAGACAAAGTAACACACTTCCATGGCTTGCAAGTATTCCATGGGAAGACAAATCTCAATCTAGACTCTCATTTAATCCTTACTGGGTTTTAGATGTGTATTCAGAAGCTGAGAATGGATTTTCCAATTGCTTTTTATTTAAAAATAAAGCCCCAATTAGAACCTTCCTGCAATCTTTATCAAAAAATAAATCAATAGAACATAGAATTGCATTTGGTGGATTACTTATACATCGCATGCATTTAGTTCGTGCCTCAGAAGAATGGAATTCTGAATATGAAAATATTAGTAAGGATTTTATGACTGAAATCAATGGAATGAACACGCTTTCACCACCATATCAAAATATTATTGGAAATATTCTAGAAAATAAACAACCGTTTCTTCAATTAAACACCAATGTAACATATGAACATTTACTGATTAAATCAGTGATTGGACATATTGTAATACTGCATTCATCAATTCCTGCAGACTCATCACCATTAACTGTATATTTAAATAGTTTAGAAAATTGCCATGCACATTTTCTTTTAACATTACCAACTGATAATGTATCAGTTATCATGAATGCTATAACATCTAAAGAGAAAATAACAAGGTAAAAAATTCGATTTATATATTATTTATTTTATTTTACATGATGATAATAACAATTACTTTTAATTAAATTAGATATTCATGCGGGTGTGGTTTTATATATTTTATAGCAGATTGTGGAAACACAAATCAATCAAGCACATGCCCACAATGTAAAAACGCAATTGGAGGAGAACGTTATGAAATAGCTCCTGGGAATCAAAAATTGGATGTAAATCCAATCATAAATGCGACGATTGTGAATCAACCTGGTTATGTTGAAGATCAGATTGAGACTGGAATTGGTCATACTGTTCGTTCCATGCAACCAAATGCATATCGTATTTTACATTTAATGGTTCATGCTTTGATTGGATCTTCAAATAATGCTAAAAACTTCTTAAAAAAGATTACAAACAATGTTGAAGAATATTGTTTTCGACATATAGAAAATGATTGGAATGTACTTAAAAAAATTTTTAATTGTAATGATGAAAACTTAGCATTATTATTACATTTGATTCTTACAGAATTGACAAAAAAAATTCCTGATGGCGCGTCATTAATTAAAACTCCTGCTCAACGGGATGAATGGGAAATGCAATTTAGCAAAAATTATGTTGAGCCGTCAACAAAGATTTTCAATAAATCAATTGCAAATTTTTATAGAGAATTAAATGAAGCTTCAAAAAAAGCAAATGGAAATGATAGTTTAATCGAATCTGAAATTAACCAGACCATAGAAATGGATAAAAATTATATGATGAAGCATTTACCAAGACTTTGGAGAACAATAGGAACAATAAATTTTGAAAGTTTCAGAGCCTATTACTTTGCTGACCAATTCAAGAACAGTAAAACATATCCAGTTCTTTTTGTGTTTTTTAAACATTCTGAGAAATTAACACAGATTAAACATCTTTTCTCCATTATTAAATTTGTTGAGATAATGACATCAAGGCTTGAGTATAGAATCAGTAGGCAAAAGGCTCGGGAAATGACATTCAGGAATTTTATAAATAATGAATCAAATGGAGGAGTAATTCAAGAGACATATAAAATGTTGGAAGATGCATTTAATGAATTTTCATTAGCATGGAATGCAGTGAGCGAACAAGTTAAGATATATCGGTGTGAAGAATTTAAAAGTGGCATACCTAAAATAAATTTAGATTGTCCCATTGTTTTTGGATTAGTTGAAGAAAAGGATACAGGAATATATATATGTGCAATTATAAATTATCTTGTGAGATTACAAAATGATTTCTTGCAAGAAATAATGGTAACCCCAAGTGAATCATTAAAATTTTTAGAAGAACCATCATCTCAAGTCAATGTTAAATCAACATTATCTCAATCAAACGATCATAATAATCCGCTAACAACTAATCGAAATTGTGTGCAATCATTGAGAATAAATCTGTTAAGGGAATCAAATATAATCAAATATAATTGGAATGATAATATTATTCAATATAGTGAAAGAAATCTTGATATTGGTTATGGAGATGATGTTATATATGATTTACAAAAAATTGAGCTTGAACTTGCACGTTGGCTGATATTTGGTAAAGCATATATTGAAACTATACCAAACTCACATTTATATTTGGAACCTTTTTCATATCATATGGAGTTGTTCCAGGGGTCTATGAGAATTCTTGGTGAAATCAAAAATATAATTCCACAAGAACCCATTCCTATTGAAAAGATATCATTGATTAAGGAGGAAGCAGAGCACTTGAATAAAATTTCATTTACATCATCACGACGTGTTTTGGACGATCCAAGTGATATTTTATCATCACTGGAAGTGCTTTTATGTTTTGTTAAACTCAATGCAGTAGGACAGGGGGACATGTTAATACAAAATTATGTAACACAATGGGTTAAATTATCACCATTGATAATGAAACCTGGATTTGCAAAGGTGTTAAATGCAGGTCTAACCTTAAAACATATAGTGGCATTGTATGAATTTGTAGAGGAACAAGTAGCCGATAGGTTGATTGGATATATTAATAATATGTATAAAGAAGAATTGACAACAGTACAAAAGGATGAAATTTCATGTATAGTTGATTTTACTAATTATCAACAATACCAACCACAACAATCAACGATGGACCAAAAAGCAAAAATACCAGCAGATGCACTTATTGTAGCATTGAAAAGATTTATGTTTAGATTTTTGTCAGCAGAATCAAATGATTACTCAAAGCATCCATTGAAAACGTATTTAAGCGACGAGGATTTGAATTATTGGTCTTCAGGAATTGATGAAACAACAATCGATTTACTTCCAGATACATGGCTAAATTCACATACATTTGCAATATATGAATACTGTCTAAATCAAGTTAAAAAACATATGCAGGATCCAAACACCAAAAAAACAAGAAGACATAAACAAAGAATGATTTTAAATGAAGCAAAGAAATTTGATAATTGTTGAAAAACTATTTTATAAATTTAGCTCTTTTTTTATGAATTTTGGTATTTTTAGTAAATAAAAAAGAAAAATCTTGTCAATCTTGATTAAAGAAATACAAATAAGGAAAACTTGCTTTATATATGTATGTATATTAGCAGGTCCCCGAAAATTACATAACCTTTTTCCTATTTTTCTTTCTTTCTATCTCTCATCAATAATAATATCCATTGATATTAATATTAATATTGTTTGATCAAATTTGCACAATTCTATCCATTATTCATTTGATTCTTTTGGTTCAAATTATTCAAATAAGACCTCGTACAGAAAAAATCGAGTATTTTTTTGCCCTTTTAAGATTTCCTGGGTAGAGATGATATTCAAATACTCAATTATTGCAAAAACATTATTCGATTTCATAATTAGGATTTTTATGTAAATCATTTGGAGGTTTTTTTTTATTCCAGCAAACTCATCTGTTTTCTTTATTTTTGTAATAGCTCTCTCCAGAAACCATCCTGGTTCCTCAATGAGTCAATTCAAAATCGCAAGATATTTTCATTTCGACCATAGAAACTAAGCATTTAATAGTATTCTCATTGTTTTCTTGAAGTATTTCCTCAATTCACACAGTTACCATTTTCTTTTTTTAATTTTAATATTGATTTATCAATTTTACTACGTATACAGTCAAATCTTGTTAAATTCATATGCAACAAATTCATAATTCCTTAAATTCATAATTTTTCAGCACATATTCGATAATTTCATATTTATAACAATAACAAAGTTGGAATGTAAAATTATCAATTATGTTATTTCTAGATTCCAAGTGGTGAAAATACTCTGTAATTGTAAGCTAATTAGAGCTCCTAACGGCTCGGTTTGAGACGGTTTGATGAGTAAACCGAACCGAACGAAAGAATACAACTCAACCAAATCAGTGCAACATACTTTGTAACAATTTAGAAAAGATTGGCAATATTTTGGTA